TTAGTAGAGACGGGGTTTCACCATGTTGACCAGGATGGTCTCGATCTCTTGACCTCGTGATCCACCCGCCTCGGCCTCCCAAAGTGCTGGGATTACAGGCTTGAGCCACCGCACCCGGCCCAAAAATTCTTTATGTATTAGTAGTTCTTTCTGATAATTACGATATTGAAACTCAGGTAAATTTAACATTAATAATATCTAGACTGATAGACAGTCAAAGATAATAGATTATGAGGCTGTAGTGAACTGAAGAAGTTTATTTTTTAAACCTTGAAAGTATCTTAGGAGTCATCTAATCCAAGTCTAGGTCATAGAAGAGGCAACTGAAACCCTGTAAGTAATTTGACCAAAGTCACCTAGTTAATACATATAGGTGTATGTAGGTAAACTCACATAATGTGAGGATGGTGAGAGTAGTGACAGCATGGTTGATGTCCCTTTAGAAAGGAGAGTTTTTAAAACTTTAGAAATAGAAGGGTGATAAGAAGCGCCCTAGAATTTCTGATCTGGTAAGCTTCAAATTGGTTTGTTTGTTGGTAGCTGATGTGGAAGTTGGCTTAGTCATTGAATCATTTATTCATCAGGCATTTGACTACCTACTATATTATAGATGCTATACTAGATGTTGGAGCTACGAAAATGAAGAAATCGTGTCCCTGCACTCACAGATCTCTTGTACTACTAGAACAGGACAAGAGAGAATACTTTCTATTTTGCCATCTCTCTCTCTCTCTCTCTCTCTCAAAAAAGAAAAAAAAAATCCAGTTTTAGCAAGTTAGTGACCTGCTGATTTAATAACCCACAAATCTTTTGTATTTGCTTTGTCGCTTAGTGCTTTCAAGAATTATACTTTGACCTTTCCCAAAAGGCAGGGGATTGGTGGGTATGGTAGGGCAAGTGTACCTGGCAACTTTATGAATGACTCTTCTATAGAAAGCTGAAAACCTGGCAGAATTTGGTCAGAGATTTTTCTTCACTCTATTATTGCTTCCCTAGTTGGGACTTTTAACCTCAGAGGAACGTTGGATTGGTGCCAGGCTGTCAGGTCAGGGACATAGTTCTGCCAGAGTCTGAAAGAGGAGATCGTTTTCAGTTGAACTTACTTGGCAGTCATCTGTCCCGCATGGAGAAAGACGTGTTTTGGAGTAGACATGTTTCCTAGATTCCTAAGGTTAATAGAGATTGACTCTTGTTATGAACCTTTGGGGTCCCCACTCTGCTTTGTGGAACAGCTTATTTTATTTATTTATTGAGATGGAGAGTCGCTCTTTCACCCAGGCTGGAGTGAAGTGTCACAAACTTGGCTCACTGCAACCTCTGCCTGCTGTGGGTTCAAGTGATTCTCCTGGCTCAGCCTCCTGAGTAGCTGGAATTACAGGGGCACGCAACCCAGCTAATCTTTGTGGTTTTAGTAGATACGGGGTTTCGCCATGTTGGCCAGGCTGGTCTCGAACTCCTGACCTCAGGTGATCTACCTGCCTCAGCCTCCCATAGCACTGAGATCAAAGGGGTGAGCCACTGCGCCTGGCCTGTTCATGTATTTTGAATAGTTTTAGCTATCAATTTACTCCTCTGCTAGCATCAAAACACTAGTTAACGGGCCGGGCGCGGTGGCTCAAGCCTGTAATCCCAGCACTTTGGGAGGCCGAGGCGGGTGGATCACGAGGTCAAGAGATCGAGACCATCCTGGTCAACATGGTGAAACTCCGTCTCTACTAAAAATACAAAAAAATTAGCTGGGCATGGTGGTGCGTGCCTGTAATCCCAGCTACTCAGGAGGCTGAGGCAGGAGAATTGCCTGAACCCAGGAGGTGGAGGTTGCGGTGAGCCGAGATCGCGCCATTGCACTCCAGCCTGGGTAACATGAGTGAAACTCTTTCTAAAAAAAAAAAAAAAAAAAACACTAGTTAACTCTGAAATGATCCAGTGTATAGTAATTGTTCATTCATTCAAGAAATATCTACTGACAGCCAGTGTTCCTCGCACTGTGCCAGGTGATACATGCAGAGGATACATTAGTGAAGGAGACATACAAGTTTCCTGCCTTCAAGAAACTTAGAGGAGATGGCTAGACAGCAACTAATTAAAATGATTTGAGAGTATTCAAGTGCCAGGAAGGAAATAAACAAGGTACCATGTTAGAGACTATTGCAGGTGGGGGGTTCCTTTTATTTTTATTTAAAATTTTTTTTGTTTTCCTTTTTTAAATTAATTTCTGCCTTTATTCCATTGTTAAGTGGGGAGTTCTTTAGGATTGGTAGCCTATTGCTTCCTTCCTTTAGTTTGGATAAGCAAACTCATGGTAGAAAAGCAGTACTCAGGAAAAGTACAGGGAAAGCATTATTCAGAGTGGCATTATAGGTTACTGGTTAATGCAGGCTTTAAGATATTAATGTTCCCCAGGTGCAGTGGCTCAGGGCATGGTAATCCCAGCACTTTGGGAGGCTGAGGTGGGTAGGTCACGAGGTCAGGTGATCGAGACCATTCTGGCCAACACAGTAAAACGCCGTCTCTACTAAAAATACAAAATATTAGCTGCGTGTGGTGGCCCATGCCTGTAGTCCCAGCTACTCTGGAGGCTGAGGCAGGAGAATTGCTTGCGTCCAGGAGGCGGAGGTTGCAGTGAGCCGAGATTATGTCACTCCTCTATGGCCTGGTGCCTGACGAAAGAGCAATACTCTGTCTCAAACAAACAAAACCAGATACTAATGTTAATGAAGAGTTAGGAAATAAAATGTTACTCTTCATAATTTTAAACTGCTATCAACTTAAATGAATGAGCTAGGATAGTTTCCCCATTTGGTTAGGAAGCTGCTGACATGGGGCTGTGATTATCCTGTTCCAGTGTAATTTGAGCCTTATGTATTTATTTCTTCCTCAGGTAGAGGCCTGAATTTTGAACTTTGATCTACCTACATCCAGCTGCCTGAAAGTACTTAATGATCACATGACCTTGGACATGGATGCTGTCCTGTCGGATTTTGTCCGTTCCACAGGAGCAGAGCCAGGGCTGGCGCGAGATCTCCTAGAAGGTGAGGAGTCGTAGGGGAGAATGAGAAAAGAATAAGTAAAATGTGGTATTTATCATTAGGATGATTTGGAACATTTAAGGTGATCAGAAAGATACCCTGTGTATGGTAGGCCTTACAGTTAATTCTAATGATATATTTGTGTATAACCCATCATAATTTAAAAATTTAAAATCCCTTTTTCACATTGAACTTCCTGGTATAGCTTTTTCCACTTGATGCTCAGGCAATGCAAGTGAAAATTTATATTAGTACATTACAAACATTATTTTATTTTATTTGTTTATTTTTTTGAGATAGAGTCTTGCTCTGTTGCCCAGGCTGGAGTGTAGTGGCATGATCTTGGCTCACTGCAACCTCTGCCTTCCAGGTTCAAGCAATTCTCCTGTCTCAGCCTCCTGAGTAGCTGGGATTACAGGTGCCCACCACCACACATGGCTGATTTTTGTATTTTTTAGGAGAGACAAGGGTTCACCATGTTGGCCAGGCTTGCTTGAACTCCATACCTCAAGGGATCTGCCTGCCTCGGCCTCCCAAATTGCTGGGATTACAGGCGTGAGCCACCGTACTCAGCCTAAAAACATAAGTTTAGATCTGTAAGACTTCCTCTTTTATATATAAGTGACTTCAGGGTTTTCATGCTTGGGATCATCCATGGTTTTCTTTCTTTATGTAACATATATTATGGGTAATTCTATGTTGAGTGAATCAATTTAATGTTTTCATTTTGCTGCTTTTGTTTACTTATATTTTTATATACATAAGTTTGAATGTTCTAAACTTTAAGGTCCTAAAGTGTTAGAATCATGTCCCTAGGATTCTTCATTTAGAGTCACAAATAATAGATGAAAATATGAAAATATAATGACACAAACAGGCAGGCCTGTATATATAATGACACAAACAGGCAGGCCTATGGGGAAGGGGCAGGTTCTTAGCATACATAGGTAATATTTTAAATTGTCAGCCCTTAGCAAGATGTCACAATTTGACATTTGCTTGGCTCCCTGTGAGAAGAGCATGAATTTGGAAACAGAAGATCAGGGTTTACATTCCAGTTTACTAATTCAGTACAACTTTGCCCTTAATTTGCATTTTCAGTTTCATCTCCTACTACTTTTCCCTGTACTTCCTGTGCTCCAGCCAGGCCTGACTTGTGACCTCTCGGTGATCATGTCAGGTTACTTCCTCAGTCTGCTACATTTCTTTCCTCCATTGTTCTCCTCATCCTTCAACATTCAGCTCAAATGTTTCCTCTTTCATAAAATCCTTAACCTTTCTGCATTCCTCTTACAAGATATGTTGAACGCTTAAGAGTGTTCACTATGTGCATAGTACTTGAAGATACTTTATTCTCACAGCCACCCTAAAATAAAGTTTTATTATCCTGGAGTTATAATTTTAAAACCTGAGGCTCAGTGAAGTAGGATTTGAACCTAGGCAATCTAGTTTTGGAATATGGCTCTAAACAATTACGTTACAAATTATTGCTAGCGTGCAGGCGCGTTCGTGCGTGCGCACACTCTCTCTCTCTCTCTCTCTCTCTCTCTCTCACATGTTGTGAAAGAAATGTTGAGGATGCTGTGAGAGTGAAGCGAGAACCCTAACTTAGATCTAGAGGGCAGGAAAGCCTTTTCTGAGGAGTGATTTTTAAGCCAAGCCCTGAAGGACAAGTAGGAGTAGCAAGACAAAGGATGTAGAACAGAGTGTTTATGTGGAATAAACAGCTTATGCAAGGGCCCTAAGTTGCAAGAGAGTTTGGCTCATTGGAAAAACTATTAATAATTGTCATATTAAGAATGGTGCAAGAGGCCGGGCACAGTGGTTCTTGCCTGTGATCCAGAACTTTGGGAGGGTGAGGTAGACAGATCACCTGAGGTTGGGAGTTTGAGACCAGCCTGACCAACATGGAGAAACCCTGTCTCTACTAAAAATACAAAATTAGACAGGCGTGGTGGTGCATGCCTGTAATCCCAGCTACTTGAGAGGCTGAGTCAAGAGAATTGCTTGAACCCGCGAGGCAGAGTTTGCAGTAAGCTAAGATTGCACCATTGCACTCCAGCCTGGGCAACAAGAGCGAAACTCCATCTCAAAAAAAAAAAAGAATGGTGCAAGAGCGATAGGCAGCTGGTTAGACAGGCAGGAAGCAGAAAATAGGGGCTCTAGCCAGGTATGATGGCATTCACTGTAATCCCAGCTACCTGGGAGGCCGAGGTGGGAGGATTGCTTGAACCCAGGAATTTGAGACCAGCCTGGGCAACATAGCAAGACCTCATCTCTTAAGAAAGAAAAAAAGAGGCCAGGTGTGGTGGCTCATGCCTGTAATCGCAGCGCTTTAGGGGCTGAGAGGCAGGTGATCACCTGAGGTAAGGAGTTTGAGACCAGCCTGGCCAACATGGTGAAACCCCGTCTCTACTAAAACTACAAAAATTAGCTGGGCGTGGTGACGGTACCTGTCATTCCAGCTGTTCAGGCGGCTGAGGCAGGAGAATCGCTTGAACCCAGGAAGCCGAGGCTGCAGTGAGCTGAGATTGTACTGCTGTACTCCAGCCTGGATGACAGAGTGAGACTCTCTCAAAAAAAAAAAAAAAAAAAAAAAAAAAAAAAAAAAAAAGACTCTGTTGCAAAAAAAAAAAAAAAGAAAAAAGAAAAGGGCTGGGCACAGTGGCTCATGCCTATAATCCTAGCACTTTGGGAGGCCTAGGTGAGTAGATCACGAGGGCAGGAGTTCGAGACCAGCCTGGCCAAGCTGGTGAAACTCCATCTCTACTAAAAATACAAAAATTGGCCAGGTATGGTGGTAGATGCCTGTAATTCCAGCCGAGATAATGCCACTGCACTCTAGCCTGGCAACAGAGCAAGACTCCGTCTCACAAAAAAAAAAAAAAAAAAAAAAAAAAAGAATGCAGGGCTTTTATAGGCCATGATGAGGAATTTAAATTTTATTCTAGGTTCACTAGGAAACTGGTGAAGGATTGTTATCAGGGGAGTGACATGATTGGATTTGAGTTTTTAACAGTACTTGTAGAGAACTCTGTGGCCAGAGAAGAAGTGATTAAAACAGGAATATTGGCTGGGCATGGTGGCTCACGCCTGTAATCCCAGTACTTTGGGAGGCCAAGTGGATGGATCACAAGTTCAGGAGATTGAGACTATCCTGGCTAACACGGTGAAACCCTGTCTCCACTAAAAATATAAAAAGTTAGCCAGGCCTGGTGGCATGGGTCTGTAGTCCCAGCTACTCGGGGGGCTGAGACAGGAGAATTGCTTGAACCTGGGAGGCAGAGGTTGCAGTGAGATGAGATCACACCACTGCACTCCAGCCTGGCTACAGATCGAGACTGCGTCTCAAAAAAAAAAAAAAAAAAGAATGCAGGGCTTTTATAGGCCATGATGAGGAATTTAAATTTTATTCTAGGTTCACTAGGAAACTGGTGAAGGATTGTTATCAGGGGAGTGACATGATTGGATTTGAGTTTTTAACAGTACTTGTAGAGAACTCTGTGGCCAGAGAAGAAGTGATTAAAACAGGAATATTGGCTGGGCATGGTGGCTCACGCCTGTAATCCCAGTACTTTGGGAGGCTGAGGTGGGCAGATTGCCTGAGGTCAGGAGTTCGAGACCAGCCTGACCAACATGGTGAAACCCTATCTCTACTAAAAATACAAAAATTAGCTGGGCATGGTGGCACACACCTGTTATTCCAGTTACTTGAGAGACTGAGAGAGGAGAATCGCTTGAACCCAGGAGGCAGAGGTTGCAGTGAGCCGAGATAGTGCCACTGCACTCCAGCCTGGGCGACAGCAAGACTGGGTCTTTAAAGAAAGGAAAAAAAAAAAAGTTAACTAATTGTATTGCAATAGGACTGTTTGGCTTTTGTTTTGTTTTGTTTGAGATAGGGTCCCACTTTGTCATCCAGGCTGAGTGCAGTTGTGTGATCTTAGCTCACTGCAACCTCTGCCTCCTGGGCTCAAGTGATCCTCCCACCTCAGCTTCCTGAGTAGCTAAGACCACAGGCGTACACCATCACACCTGGCTAATAGGACTGTTCAATACTGGTAATTGAAAAGAAGAGAAAGAAATCAAAAGCTAACTGGTTGTAGAGCAAAGAGATTGGAAGCAGAGAGATCAGATAGAGAGTTCCTTCCTAAAAGATCAAAGACTAAGTAAAGATTATGAGGACCTGAATTAGGGCAGAGGCAATAAAAATGGATAATAAGAAATGGATTTGAGAGATGTTTTAGGGGTACAAACAACCATGAAGATTGTGTGATCTGAGGAAATGTGAGGAGCTGAAAATGACTGAAGTTTCAGGGCCTGGAGGGATTGTGATGCCATGACTGATTTAGGAAACATAGGAAGAGGAGAAGCAGCAAGCTTTGGGAAAGAAACTGATGGATATTCAATTTGGCCCTGTGGATTGTTAGGAGGACCTGATTTTTAGGAGATTTGCAGACAGTTGGAAATACAGATTTGATCCTCAAGGCAGATGTCACTCATTCATGCATTGATTCAGGGTAAGAGTTCTCCATTAATTCAGCAAATATTTATTGCATGAGTACTATGTGCCAGGTACTGTTCTAGATGCCTAAAACAAAATAAACAAAATGTTATAGCAGGAGAGTGAGTCAATAAACAACAAACATGATAACTAACTAAATTATAAAGCATATTATAAGCCGTCAAGTGCTATGGAAGAGAGTAAAGGGAATGATGAGGTGGTTGTGATTTTTAATTGGGTAGTCAGGGGTAGACCTTACCAACAATATGATGTTTAAGCAAATCCCTAAAGCTGATGAGGAGCTGTCTGTGTGGATATATTGGGGAAAGAGCCTTCTAGGTAGAGGGAATAGTCAGTGGAAAGGCCCTAGAGTAGGAGTGGACTTAGCATGTTCTAGGAACAGCAAGGTCAGTGGTGACTGGAACAGAGTGAGCAAAGGGAGTCAGAACAATTGGCTAACACAATGCTTTAGAAGGAAAATCATCAGTAATGATTTAGAAGTAAAATTTTAAGTAAACCAAGCACTATTCTAAGTGCTTTCAACTTATTTAATCTTCGTAACAACTCTGCCAGGTAAGCACTGTTACTGTCACCTGCATTTTCACAGATAAGGAAATTGAAGCACAGTGAAGAGGTAGAAAAGTAGGCCAGAACGTAGAAAGCCTTGAGTTTCAGGCAAAAGAGACTAAGTTTTATTCTGTAGGCAGTGGTAAGCCATTAAAAATCTTGATTATTGAACTAAAATGATCATAACTGTGCTTTAGAAAGATTAATCTCATGGAATTCTTTGGAATGGATTGGAGGTAGGACAATAGCTGACAGGAATTGAATTAAGGCGGTAGCAGATGGAATAGAACAAGAAAGAAGTGTGAGTAATTATACAATGCTTATTTATTGAATGATTTAACTGGAGAAAGCGTCAGAAAAATCCATTATAACAAATCTATCATCAAAGGT